TTATAAAATTTTTGATATATAACGCGCGCTCTGATTGGCTGACGACCGTGTTTATATCAGAGGACAGAGACACGGCTTACCGGCAAAATTTTCTTTTCGCTCGAAAAATTTTATAAAAGAAATATAAAACGGCCGCTTGTGTCTCTGTCCTCTGATATAAACACGGTGGGAGTTGAAAAACACTCGAGAAGCAAGAGAAACACTCGCTACGCTCGTGTTCCTAAGCTTGCTTCTCTCGTGTTTTTCGAACTCCCACCGTGTTTATATCAGAGGACAGAGACACGCGCGCCGTTTTATGTTTCTTAAGTACAATAATGAGTGTTATACATATAATTGTTGCTCATTAAGTTCTTTGAATTTAGATGCCAATGAAGATGTACCAGAGGAGAATGGACCTGATCAGAACAGTGATGTGGTTAGTACTTAGAGAAGCTCACATGTACAAAACACATACTCGCACCCAGGCCATTATCTGTTTCCCAATGGAAAATTGGAGGGTCTGGTAGGCGACAAATGAGTCGTTGATTTGTTTGGTTAAAAAATTCCCATAACCATCAGTATGCATATATAGCACAACCCAGATTCTGCGACTTTAGTTTGCCTCCGACCAGAACCTTCGATTTTCCCTAAGGAAACTGAGGAGGGTATCAAGCAACTTATTGGCTATCACAAATCCAGCATTTCCATTGGCTACTGAACTATGGTACATTCATGATAAAACCTTGCTGGCATTGAGCAATGCAAAAATAGTTGAAAAATTGGTTCTTTATGATCTTTTATCAAATTTGCTCTATAGTTAGGTCATGGATACTAAAATAAGTACGACGTCATGGTATATCCACTCAACCTCGTGGTCTATTATTAGATATTATTAATCATGTCTAATAACATTTACTGTTATTGATAGTATGAAGAACAGGACAACAGTTATGAGGAGCAACAACAAGAACAAGAAGAAGAAGGTAAGACCAAACGTAACGGCAGCTGTATTGATTTATACTTTTTTGCGAGTCTTATTTATCACCGTTTTTAGATTTTTGAAAGATTGGGTATCTTTTTTCAGTGGAGATATATTCACAGACATTTTGTCTTTGAAACGACAATTTCTGGGAACTGACTTTGCTTGCTATAATCCATATTTCTAAAAGCATAGCCATGTTAAATCTTTACTGAGGCAAACACTTTTGCAATATGACCTTTAAGTTTAGGAGTTGTTACTAAACCATGATAAGTTTGTAAGAAGGGTCTTTTTTTATCGTCATAGAAGAGTTGCGACAGAGTCCTCCAGTGCAACAGCCAAGACAGAGTGAGCCAGCACCAGCACAAGCCAGTAAACCAAAACGATATTCATCCCAGCGTCAACGAGCAACACAGCARACTGCTGCAATCCCAGAACCCTTCCAAGAACAAATGGGATCTGTTGTACCAGAAGGTTCCTATTATGAACACATGGGTAAGTTTCCTTTTGCCATGAATTGTATGGAAGTACATAAAAGTAAGTGCATTTATTAAAGGGACATGGTCCACCAGCATCCCTTTCGAGCTTTTGCTCATGTTTGAAAATAAAAATACATCGTAATATAAATCAAAAAATTACTCTTTATTATCCCTTTATACTATATGAATGGAGAAACTGTAAGATTCAAACTTAAAACCGATGGATGGAAACGGTTTGCGAATGGATATTCGAAATCACCTCATTTTCCATATATGAAAGATCTAAAACACGACCGCATTGAATGCTTGTGGACCATGTTCCTTTAACAATTATGTTATTGAAATGGTTTCGTTACAGGATATCAAGATATGTATGTATCTCCTGGAACACCTCCTGTACAAGGAATGATACAACACGGTAAGTAACTACGATGTCTGTATTCTATATATGTGCACATACTCATTGGTAGGGTAAATCCACACTACCGGTACCGATTTTGTAACTTAATAATTTCTGAATTGTCTGCAAAGTAAAGAAAAGGTTATATCTGACTTATTTTGTTGATAGACATGATTAATTGTTGTTTTAGTAAGGAAAAGGCCTTTTGCATGAAACTGTCGCATAGTACTTAAGCCGCCAAACTGTATTTTTAATTAATTAATTTGTTTAATTAATTAATTATTTTGTATAATTTAAACAACCTCAGAAACATTTAGAACCATGTGACGGTTTCGTGCAAAAGGACTATTAGTCAATGGAAACCAGCTCTCGG